AATAGTTTCTGTAGCTAGGAAATATTGACAGCGATGGGAGGCTGTCCCATCAGCCAACACTCTTCCCTTTTGATCTGAGTTTGGGGCTTGCCCTGGTGCAGCTGTGTCTATTTTGTATGTCGTTAAGAGCAAATAGGATTGGACATGTCCAATTAAAGGTTATGGTAATGGGTTAGAGCTTTGATAGAATTTGTGTATGAGAGATAACAAATCCCAGGTTTCCTTACCCTGGAAAGGAGGTGTATTGGAGAGAATTGGAAGCACTTCGGACTGTGTATGTATTTCAGATTATGAATATGAAATGATCAATCTCTCAGTAGCGACAGATGACAGACCATGGAGCAATAGTCTCAAGTTGCAGTGGGAGAGGTCTAGGTTGGATATTAGGAAAAACTATCTCCTTAGAAGGGTGGTGAGGCACTGGGATGGGTTCCCTAGGGAGGGGGTGGAATCTCCATCCCTAGAGGTTTTTAAGCCCTTGCTGGGATGATTTAGTTGGGACTTGTCCTGTTTTGGGCAGGAGGTTGGACTCGATGGCCTCCTGAGGTCTCTTCCAATCATAAGATTCTATGTGGGCTTTTCACAGTCATTAATGTGTGATGATCTGGAAAGGTGCATGATGGACACATCTTCAGGAACATTGGCCTGTACAGAAAGCTGCAAGTGGGGCCTTCTTTCCTGGCCATTTGTGATCAGACATAGCCTACCCCTTGTAGCCCTGGCTCAGGAAACTGAATCTGCTGTACCTGGACAGCGGAAAGGAATGTTTTAACAACAGGCTAAGAAAGTGCTGCATGGTGGTCAAATGCACCTTTGGGAGACTGAAGGCAAGATGGAGGTGTCTCTGTGGCTGGTTGGATTTCACTGAGGGCGATATTCACATGGTTATTGTGGTGAGTTTTGTTTTGCATAATCTGTGTGAAAATAAGCGGAATTATTTGCTTAGGGTTGGAGCACTGAGGCATAATACGTGGCTGCAGAGTTTGAGCAGCCAGACACTAAAGCTGTCAGAGGAATGCAAAGGGATGCTGTCAACATCAGGAGGTTTGGGGAGTGCCCGCTGAAAATGAGGGTCATGGAAATAAATCTTCATAACAGTTGCCTACATGTCCCCCTTCAATGCAACATGTAATCAGGAATATGACAGGTCTGCACTAAAGCAGGGCTGGGGGCTGCTGACCCACAGAAAAATCAGTTGAGAGCCGCGCTCCAGTGGGAAGGCCTCACTGACACGGCCCCTGACTGAGAAGGAGACAGGCACGCTCCACATTCCCCTCGCAGGCTGGATCCTTGCGGGCCCAGGTACTAGATTGTGTGCTCCAGCCCTGTGGTGTGGTGTGGGGGGAGGGCCAGAGCACAGCACAGGCTGCCCGATGCTGGGGCGAGTCCTGAGCCAGGCAAGCTGGGGGCCATGTCCACTCCCCCAGGCCTTAGGTCCCCCCCGCTTTAAAGATTATAAATATCCCAGCCCACGTCTGACCAAGCCATAACGTCTAGAGCCTGAGCCCCGTGTGAAAGGTGCTATGGCTGAGACTGGAAATCTGCTCAGGAATTTATCATTTGATCCTTCCCTGTTTGAAAACTGAGACCTAATACTGAGAGATGCTGAGCTCCTGTAGCCTTCAATTGCTGCGGACGTCTTGTATTTAATCCACATGGAAACCTCCTCTGCACACTAACTTCCTGTTTTGCATGTCTAGTATGAAGATGATGATGAGACCAGAGAACTAAAGTTTCTCCTGAAGCAGCCGGCCCCACTGCAGCCCACTGTCCGGTGAGAGTAGTTCACCTTTCTGCCAGTCCTCGCCGTATATCTGCTTAGTGCACCCGTGTACCTGAGCACAGATACCAGGCAAATCATTCCTAGTGAAGTTTATGAAGTCAGGGCTTGCCTCTGACTCCGAATCCCTTCCATCTTGTCCGATGGTGAATGCCAGACAGACCACCCCAGCTCTGAAGGCAGGAAGTCCGTATTTGTTGTTAGAATCCTCTAAGTTCACCTGAGCTCTGCATGGCAGTTGGCTGTCTCTCTGCAGCCAGCATGTCTGTAGTTCAAAGGTACAATGGCAGCATGTCTGATGGCTGCATTTCCTTGGGATTCTTGTAACTCTGCGTGCCTCTGAAGTGCTCCAAATAGGCTGGGAATCTTTGGGTACCTCAGAGTACACTGGGAGCCAGAAATCCCCAGCCTGTCCACTGCTAACTGAAATCTAGCATTCACTTCTGTCCAAAGATCACAGCTCTGGCTGTGTTACGACTTTCCATGGCCTCTGCTGTCAGGAGATTGCAAAGCATTTCACAGGCTGTGTTATGACTTTCCATGGCATCTGCTGTCAGGAGATTGCAAAGCATTTCACAGAGGTCAGTAAGTGAAGCCTTCCAGTGCTGCGAGAGACCTAGGGACTGAAGTGGAGAGATGAAAGTGATGTGCCTAGGGCTACACAGAAAATTGCTGTTGAACAGTGTGGGAAGCCCAGATCTCGTATGTTGTCTTGTGCATTAACCACTACTGAATGGTGCCTCCTGGTTGCTTGTGGCTTTTGTAGGCCAAGACTTCCTCTGTGGTGAGATGACAGTGTTTGCCCTTACCCAGTGCCCATTAGTGGTCTTACTCTTTGTTCGGAACCAAAACTAGCTCAGGCGGCAGTCCAGGGAAGTAGCTCAGGCTGTCTGCCATCTCCACTCTCCCCCTAGCATGTCTCCTCACAGCTGTACAGCTCCTTGAGCTTTTTCTCCTCTTCGTGGACCATCCTAGGTGAACCCACACTGAACTGAGATTCCAGTGCCTGCTGTAGCTAGGTGTGGGCTGGGGGCTTTCCCTTGGAAAATCTAGACTCCTGTTTGTGATCATGGATCGTTAAGACCTTTGTTGCTTTATTCCTTTGACCCTTTCTCATTGCTGACAGCAGGCATGATAGTCCATCTGCTTCACCAAAAGCTGTGTCAAAACCAAGTGGGAGCCCACACCCAGGAGTCTCTGCATTGCCAGAGGAGAGGTCTGACTCGGAGCTCGACAGGTATGTGTAAGAACTAAACCACGAAGGAAAAGCAGCTATGAAGTGGAAAGTAAATGACAGACTCTGAAGAGGGGAAGGAGGGGGGTGTACTCCACAGTCTGAACTGGGGAAGCAGATCCCAATGACCTGTGTGGAAAGGGTCATTGCACCTACCGGTGTTCTCATGCCTCATTTTCCACCCAAATTAGACCCAAGTGTAAGGAATTCAAGTTGTTTTCCTGCCCAACCCAACTCTCCTTCCCAAACCTGTCTGGTTACCCTGTGAAACCTGTGCGCAGCAGTTCCATGTGCTGCCTCACAGGCTGGAGCAGTAGAATTGATTCGAGTGTGAGGGGGCCCAGTTGTTTTCTGACCTGGACCTGATGCTTGTAGTCAGGCCCCTGGCAGTGCTCGAGATGGGGCTTTACTGTGTATTTTTGTTGCCTGTGGTGTTGGCTTTGCTACTTGTGCTTATTTCACTTGCAGATTCCACTACATCCTTCAGACCTTGTTTCAGGCTCCCCGTTTTGCTACTCAAAGTGCTGTAGCGTGTCATATGGCAGTAATATATTTACTACGTGGCTGCATCTAGACTGGCAAGTTTTTCCTGCAAAAGCAGCTGCTTTTGCGGAAAAACTTTCCAGTTGTCTACACTGGCCACTTGAATTTGTGCAAGAACACTGCCGATCTCATGTAAGATTGTCCGTGTTCTTGCGGAAATGCTCTGCTGCTCCCGTGCGGGCAAAAGCCCTCTTGTGCAAATGCTTTCACGCAAGAAGGCCAGTGTAGACAACGCGGTATTGTTCTGCGCAAAAATGGCGATCGGGGCTTTCTTGCGTAAAACCGCGTCTAGATTGGCACGGACGCTTTTCCGCAAAACGTGCTTTTGCCAATCTAGATGCTCTTTTCCACAAATGCTTTGAACGGAAAATCTTTTCCATTAAAAGCATTTGCGGAAAATCCTGCCAGTGTAGACGTAGCCCTTGAGTCTCAGATTATTGGGTCAGGGGAGTTGCTCTCTAAGGCTACGTCTACACTGCAGCGCTATTTTGGGATACTGAAGCTTTCCCGAAATAGCTATTCCGCATCTTTTTTGAGCACAGCCATTATATCGAAATGTAATGGGCTCACTATTCCAACATCCCTGTAAACCTCATTCCACAAGGAGTAAGGGATGTTTCGGGATAGCAATTTATTTCAAAATTACGTGCTGTGTGCTAGAGAAGAAACAGGTGACCCAGGATTGGATGGCATGCTTCGGCAGCTCCTGCAGCCCAGCCCTGGGTCAGGGCATGAGGCAATAGGGGAACGGTAGTTTAAAGCGCTGTCTGGATTCCAGCTGAGCAAGGGTCGGGTCTCCTTGCTCCTGGAGAGCTGACAATTGCAGGGGGTTTGGTGGTGGCAGGGGGGACGCAGGCCCACCCACTCCACTGCATCCCGGCCCAGGGCCCTGATAGTGGCGGCCTTGCAGCCACCAGGTTGGCAGGGATCCAGGCCGCCTTGCAGCCACCAGGTTGGCGGGGATCCAGGCCATTACATGCCGACAAGGTCGAGGGGCAGCGGGGTCCAGGCTGCAATGCGTTGCCCACCCGACCGCCATCTCATCAGCTGCCCTGAGGTCGGCTGTGCCTGGGCCGCTCCCCAGCTCCCCGAGGACCTGCCAGACTCTGGCGCTGCTCTGGGGGGGTCTGCAGGCGACGGAGGGGCTGGCAGGGTGTCTGTGGACTCTGGCCCGGTGAGAGTCCCGGAGGGTTTGGCCTGGGTTCAGGAAGCGGCCAGGGTCCTGGCGGTGCAACCCAGTCCTCTGGTCGGGGATAGCGCGGCTGAGCCCTTCTCTGCGGGAGCCAAGGCCAGGCGTCTGCTTGGGTCGGCTGCCCAGCCCTGACTGAGCCCGCAGCTCTTATAGTCCTAGACCTGCCCTCTGACTTCCTGTGGGTGGGGCTAGGTGCAGCTGGGCCCGCCCCCCAAGGGGTCATAGAGGGCACTTCCTTTTCAGGGTTAGCGGTTGGCCAAGGGCTCATTACGTGGCCTCTTGCCCTGCTGGCTCTCTCCGTCGATGGGGCTTGTCCTGTATCTCTGCCCTGCGCGTGCGACGCTGCCGGACCGGTGCTGCGTATTGATTGTTTTGGCCGGTGTGGAGATGGCAGCCTGGAGTGTTAGTAGAGACAATTGTTCTGGCTGCCACTCGCCACCCCCAACTGGGGCACATGCGCTTCCTACGCTGTCTTCACTGGTCCTGGTCAGAGTCCCCGCATCCGCGAACGGACACCCCTTCGTTTCCTGTCCCTAAGAAAACGGGGGGAAGCAGGGGGGGTGCTGAACGGCTCCGTGCAGGTCAGAAGAGTCTGAGAGGAGGATGCAGTTGAATTACGGGCACCGAAGAGGAACTCCAAGTTCAGTGACTCCATGCTCCTTAGCCTTGTCCTGTGAGAGCTCTGCTGTCAGTAGTAGCTAGTGCGTGGATGGGGCTTGCAAGTGCTTCCTTTAACAGTCTTACCAAAGCCGTCCCTGAAGGGGTTTCATGAGGGATGTTTAAATAGGTGTTTCCAATGGGAAAACATCCCCCTGGACCTGGTGAGCACAGCCATGGGCTCTGACATTCGGGCAGCTGGGTTGAGAGCAAGGGGAAGGGAGGGCTCTGACAGCGCACAATCCATGGTAAACCCGTGTCTGACGGGGGAAACCGAGGCAGGGTTTGAGGAAATGACTGACAAGAGACTCAGAGGCCATGCTGCATATAGAATCTTCCCATATTTAACCACTAGATCATGCTTCAGAGTCAGTCTGTTGGACTCTGCTACAGAAAGAACGCACCCCCGGTAACATCTGTGAGCAAGAAATAAACCCTAAGAAGTCTTTTTTAGTTTATTTTTCGTAGTGGGAAGCGCTTCGCATGGGAGTGAAGCGAGAGCCCCCCACGAGCCCGACGCGCTGCTTGCTCATCACAGGAGGCAGGGTGTGAGTGCATGCAGTCCAAAGCCCTGCACTTCTTCCATGCAGCGCAGTCATGGAAGTGTGGGCGGATTCCTTCAGCTGAGGGACATGGTGGGCGTGAGCTATCCACATGTGCAGAGTCTCTCTAATCAGCAGCTCGGGGACCGGAGGGGCTGGTGGTTGGTGTCGGATCTGGCACTGGCTGAGCAAAGGGAGCGTTCAGACTTGCAAGGCTACGGAAGGGAGTCTGTGTCCAATACCATAGTTTGGACAGACTGAGAATTGCACAGCTGGGCTAGACAGTCTTGAGGGAATTACACACTAACTTGCAAGTGTGCCTTAAAATGTGGTGCTGCATGGATCGGAAATCATTTTAGTCTCAAATGGGCATTGAAATGAGCTGTTGCCTAGGCCAGAGGAGGGAAAGTCTTGTCAAAGGTGAATGGCGTTTTGTAGGGTTTTATCTTGGTAGCTAATTTAGCTACTGCTTGCTTCACTACCCCAAGACGCCTGCAGAATATTCATACCTGGGTGGATGGACATACCTTGCTATGGACAGCTGGCTAGTGCCTGAAACAGTTTAAATTCAAGTTCCTTGAAAGTAATAGTTTGTGTCTGTCTCCAGCAGAGGAGTCTGATACACATGGGTACTGATGGGAAAATATTTTGATGGCTCAAAATTGAATCCAGGCTAAAAATCAGATTTCTTTATCCAATAGGCTATATTGTGTGGCTGTGAATGCAATTGCAGTCCCATTAGCTGGGTGTGAATGCACTAACACTATGGGACAAAAAATTGATCTGAAATAATAATAGATCCTGTGCAGAGAACCTTTTTATCCCTTACATTAATCTGTATTTAATGCCCTTCATGTACTTGTCTGAAAAGCCCACATTATGAATGAAGAGCTGCCAAATGTCCAGTGTAACAGACGAATGTTTTTATGGTAACAAACCCAGTGGTGCAGGCTGTGGTTTGCACATGCTGTCTCCTGAACTCAGGCTCAAGATTCTGCTATTGCTCGGTAACCAGTGTGTCCTTTTGCTGGCTGGATCCTTGTAGGTGGAGGTTCTGAGGATCCTCCTTGGTGTGAGGATAGAGGGGAAGTGCCCTGTCTGTCAGTTTGGCATGAGGGAGGAGAGGGTGACAAGGTCGGAGCCACATGGACTAATTTGTATCTGTTTCTTTCACAGTGATGATGACCTCATCCCTTATGACATGTCAGAAGATAAAGAGCTGAAGAAGATGAAAGCCCCTGTCTATATCCGAGACTGTATTGAGGGTAGGAGATTCTGAGTAGAGTCTATTGGATCTTCATTTAGAAATGTTCCTCTCTTACGCTGCTCACGGGTGGGTTCTGCTACTGGCTAGTTTTTGGTGTTCCACTTTTGAAGGGCATGTTGACACTACAAACTTCTGCTATTTCAGATCACTCATAAGCAGGGCTCAACAAACCACAGTGAGATCTACTTGCCAGCCCCACACCGTGCACGCGCCAGACTGGCACTGTGCATGCGTGTGGCGCCGCTGAACGGGGTGAACGGGGCAACCGGCTGAAATTGACTTGCCGTGGGCGAGAAGAAATAGCGATTTGTTGAGCCCTTCTCATAAGTAGGGACGTTAGCATATAGTCATTTAAACAATTAACTGATAAGCCTGGGCTTCTCGATTAATCCTAACGACTTCATGCATCCGCCCCTCAATTGCTGCCTCTGATAGAGTCAGCAAGGGTGGAGGAGTTGGGAGCCAGTGCCCGTGGGGAGCTGGTTTTTAAGCTGGTTCCCTGCGCATGTTTCTCGTGAAGCTGCCTATCCCTCCCCCCCTTTGACTCCCATGGAGGCGGATGTGGGGGGAGGCAGGAGGGAATGGGGGATCTGCTGCAGTACCTGTGGAGGGGAGGTCAGTCTAGAGAGTGCCCCCGTCTTACACAATCCGGTAAACTTCCACACCTGGCCTCGGGTGCAGCTTTCTCTTCAAGAGCGGGAAGGGAAGGGAGATCTCTGGACTCGTGCTAGCAGAAGTGCGCTCACAGCTGGCAGCAGAGCTAACGTGGTTGGGCTTTGTTTTCCTTCAGTTCTAACGGGATCTGAGGACCTGGACATGTGGGAAGCTACAATGAGGGTTTTGGAGAGTCTGATTCGAAGGAATTCAGCTACTGTCAGAGAGGTAAGGCCGGTGGGCTGTTACTAGCAGGCCTTAGTCAGAGGGGTGGCTCAGCAGGGGCGTAACGAGGGGCAAGATGGCAACGTCAGAAGAGAGACAGAACCGAAGGACTCATCCTGCTTTCTCTGTCTCGTGGGGACTCAGTGCAGGCCCTGTGAGCGGCACGCTTTGCCCTCGGCGAGCAAGTGCAACAATCCAAATCAGAAATGACGTCTTTGTTTTCGTCAGACCCAGTATGCTCCACACTCTGCCCCCTCGTCCAGAGTTATTGGGGCAGGCTAGTCAAATTGCAGCGCCGGGGTGGGCTGGGAGCAGATGGGTTAAGGGGTTACTGATGTAATGGCTTTTCCTCCGGGACATCTGCAGGGACTGAGTGCCAAAACATGGGCCTCTCTCCCGTGAGCAAGAGAGGTCGCTGGTCGCCGTTGTTGGTTCTGACCCTGTTGTGAGGCCAGCGGGATGCACAATGCAAAGATGCCTGGTCAGTTTTACTGAGGCGTCCTCTCCATTCCATGCCACCAAAAGCCCCGTTTCAAAGGGGGATGGAAAGGGATGTCGCCCCCGTCCCTGCTTTAAGCAGTCCCGTCTCCATGTTGCCTTAGCGTGTCACCCCCCTGCTGTGTGTAATGGTCAGGCCCTGCTCCTTCATCTCCACTCCTCGCACAGAGGCAGCCAAAAGGAAGAGTTCCTGTCTGCATCTTCCTCTGTAAGCCTTTGCGGGAGGAAGGAACCTCTAGCCCAGCTGGCCTCTCTGCTTTTGCGTTTGTGCAGGTGAGCACAGAGCTGGCGAAAGTCCTGCTGCACCTGGAGGAAAAGACCCCCCTGGATGGCTTTGCGGAGCTGCGTCAGAGAGCCCTCGTGGCTGTCACCACCACAGATCCAGTGCCAGTGAGTCCCAGGCACAGACGTGAGGATCTGCGCACTTGCAGCTAGCATAGCAGACGGTTTCCGTCGGGGCGGGCTGGTTGGCCATTTGGGAGCAGGCTGAGTTTGTGCAGAGCTGTCCTGCCTCCTCGCCAGCTGTCCATGAGCTGGGAGGGTGGAAGCCAGGGCGCTAAGGGTTAATGACTGAGCGGCAAACTGCGGGCTAGGGGGTTGGACAGTTGAAATGATTAAGTGTCTAGGCATGTGAGGGCAAGTTAGCTAGCCTTGGGCAAGTCCTGGGCCTCAGCTGTGAAAGGCGAAGTCTGCTCTGAGATGTGCTGCGGTGGGATCAGTTACTGACGGCAAAGCAGAGCACTTGGACTCCCTGGTGGCAGCGCTGCAGAAGGGCAGAGTCACTTCCTCTGGGCAGAGGGTCCCTGGATTTCTCCTGCTCAGATGGTTCTTCTCTCCCCATTGCTGACAGGAGTTAGGACTTTGCTTAGAGTTCCAGCCCCAGGGAGGGCTTGGAGGAGGCAGGGTTCTTCCCCCATTACTGGTTCATGCTCGTTGTTCCCTGGCGTGATGCAGGTGACGCAGTATCTGACTTCCCAGTTGTACTCCCTGAACTACAGTCTCCGGCAGCGCATGGACATTCTAGATGTAAGCGACTTCCCTCTCTAGCTCCTCCCCTTCCCATTCACGGTTCCTCCTGTTGCACCTGACCCGTCTTTGGGAGATAGGCTGGGCAAGTCCCTGCATGCCTGGAGCAGCTTGGGGGAAACATCAGTTACTGCCCTTGCCTTCCTGCCCTCCGCAGGCTGTGCAGATGGGATGGGAGGGAAGAGGCAGTGCGGTGGCCAGCATGGTGACCACCTGTCTGGAAGTGCCTTTTCAGTCTACTGCCTGGCTCCCTTCCTGACCATGCTGCCACCCCACTGCATGACTGTCCCTAGAGGAGGAGCCACTGTCTGTTGTCAGCCTAGCTCCTCCGCCAAGTACCCCCTGCAGCAGCCGAGCGGCACCTGGTGGCCTCGAACTTGTGTGGTCCACCCTCAGCATTTTTGCTCCTGAGCTCTTTTGTGCCTGCCTCTCTCCTCATTCCTGCCTTGCTCCTAGTGCAGGTGAACGTTGCTGTTTGCTAGGGAGAAGGAATTCTCTTCTCATAGGGCCTCTTTCAATCCTCCAGGTCCTCGCTTTGGCAGCACAGGAACTTTCTCAGCCCCAGGTCTCTGGGAAAACTAAGCCCTGCAGCGCCCAGCATCCCTGCCCCCAGGCGCTCCCTGCCACTGGCAGCTCCCAGGACTGGAGAAGGGCTGTGGACGAGAGGATCAAAAGCAAGACGCGCTATTTGGCAAAGGTGAGGCCAGGGTGCAGGATTGTGGAGATGCAGGGTGGCCTCACGCCCCAAGGCGCAGAGAGCTGCCCTGGGACTAACTCTGAGTGTGGCCAGGCCCAGTGGCGGCAGCAGCAAACGCCGGGTAACTTCTTTTACAAAGACAGCGAGTGGGAGGGTGTCTGCAGCTCCTTAGAGCCCTTGCTTAGCCCTGTCCCAGCCAGACCCCGGCTGAACTCACTGGGAACGGCCGGTCTCCATTCTGGAGGTGCAGGCCATAGTGCTACCCTCTGCCTACCCGCATGAGAGGCCAGTAGCTCTGCCTCCCTTCTCTCAGACCTTCCTCCAGCCGCCTCCATGCTCTCTGGCTCCCAGGCCTTCCCTCTGACTGCACAGAAAGAAGTCGGTCGGTCAGCCCTTTCCCGTCCTGTGCTGCGAGTGAGCCTCACTCCCTCTGCTTCCCCGCCCAGACCACAGGCTGCGCAGAACTCCTCAGCGACTGGAAATGGGGACACTCGACTCCAGCATGTCGTATTGCTGGCTCAGGCATCTAGGAGAGCCGCACTGAGGAACACAGGACCTTTCGGTGCTAATGGCTGCTGCTCCCTCTCTGGGTCTGACCGCGTGGCCAAGGGAGGCTCTCGCTGCTGGTGGCGTTTCTTCTCTAACCCCCCTTTCTCTTTTGGGCAGGGTCGGTGTCTAGCGGAACCGGCTTGTGGCCCGAACAGGTTCAGTTCCTTAGCTGGGCATTTCTTCTTCCCTCTGCTTCAGGGCTTTGACAGGTGAGATGGCAAGTCCCGTGGGTCCTGGTGGGCAGGGTCGGTGTCTAGCGGAACCGGCTTGTGGCCCGAACAGGTTCAGTTCCTTAGCTGGGCATTTCTTCTTCCCTCTGCTTCAGGGCTTTGACAGGTGAGATGGCAAGTCCCGTGGGTCCTGGCTTCCTAAGGCGCCATGGCCACACATGGCCGGGGGGAGGGGTGTTGTAGGGGGCAAGGTCACTAAGGCGCCATGGCCACACATGGCCGGGGGGGGGGGGGGTTGTAGGGGGCAAGGTCACTAAGGCGCCATGGCCACACATGGCCGGGGGGAGGGGTGTTGTAGAGGGCAAGGTCACTAAGGCGTCATGGCCACACATGAGCTTGGCAGCAAGACAACGTTCGCTACCATGCAGGGTAGTGGACACAGGGTTTCAAAGTGGCGCCAGCTGTTAGCTGCAGCAGAGCAAACCCCGCTCGAACGGCAGGGCCTGTGAACTCTTCTGCTGCCCTGCGCTGTAGCCTTTGCTGTACAAAGCTGGTACTGCGGAGCCTCCCTGGGGGGCGGGACCGACG